TAGCTTAGGCGCTTGCTAACTGGCTCGAAATTGTCCTTACAACTGTTTTAGGTATCTTTCCTTGAGGCTCTTTTGAAGTCAGCAATCACAATGATTGTAGGTCGCTGTTGTTTAGGTGACATCACTGGTGGACTATGCTACGCTCAGTGCGCAGGGAGGAGAGGGGGGGGGGTAACTGGGACTTAGGGTCATGATGGACCCTCATGGACCCTTTTAGTAGCAGCACCTTGCGGTGGTTCAGTGGATTTGACACGAGGAGGAAAATTATGCACAGAGAGAAGAGGTGAACGCCTTGATTGTCTGGCTGCAAAAGAGAGGTAACAAGATTGAAGTATCTGTTCTTGCTTATACAGTACAGGCCCGCCTCGCCAGATGTGAGGTCGTGAGGGAATCATCGCCAGCGATACGCAGGCGATGATAGGGGAGGGGGGGGGTGGTTGGAACCACCCCTTAACGCTCTCTTCCACCAATGACTTCCAATTACGTTAATAGAACCGCAATATCCTCAGGCCATCGTGATCATTGTCTTTGAAAATATGCCTCCTGTCAAGCCAGTACTGATGAAGCCAAAAGTGCTCAGTTAGTAAATAATTACCTGTCAAATCTGGCGGGTCCTTCGAGCAGGTCTCCTCCGTGTTGCATGCAGGATTCCATAGCCCAGAACTCTCCACAGATTCGACTAATATTGATGGCACACCGGGTAATTGCCAATACTGCCTGTAACAAATCTTTTAGTTTTAAAACGTACCATCCTCACAGAATGGGGCCAAAAAACATGCAGCTATCGATCTTAAAATTCAATCAATAACCTGTGATATCGATCGCATCCCAGCGGAAAACTTCGGACTTTCGTTGACAACTCGTTGATCTTCTCTTTAAGGTGCTCAGCTTCCGAATTTAATGAATCGATGAGAACTTCAAGTTGATCAGGTGACATGTTCTCCTCCTGAACAAGGACTTTCTTGAGCGGCCACACAAAGAATGGACAATTGGGCATTTTCCGCATCCCCAGACACGTATGCTTATATCTTATTGGTGCTGCTTTTGTGAAAGCAGAGAGGACAGACGAAAAGTGAGAAGTTGCTCAAATTCCTATTGGGATGCGCCATGCATTCCTCCTTTAATGTCGCTGGATTGAAGGGTGTACGGTAACCTAGGGTGGTCAATAAACATCTATTCGCAATGTTCTTGACAACGATTCTACATCTGATGGTGAGATGTAATGATAAAGGTCGTCTCAAACCCACTAGTCTCCGAACTCTGCTGCGTTTGGGGCAACCGCATTAACGATAGGATCTTATGTCCCTCCATCCCTCCCCCCCCCCCCACCTACGCAACCAATTAGTCTACGGCTATGACATGAGGTGTGGAGGTGTGAACTTTCACGGTAATCTTTGAATTCCCCACTTCCTGGATAACTTTTAACCGTTTCGGTTACCTTTCCTTACCGACGCTGAGAAAGGACGTATGGCGCTGCTGAAAAAATGGAGGTGAAACGAGAATTCGCAAGCATCTTTGAAAGGCCTCATTTGAAATTAGCAATTAATAATTACAACGAGATTTACAGCACATCTTATGGTAAAATGGTAAGGTATCCACCGTCTACAAACACCTTTTTAATGCGCCACGCACTCGATTTCCACTAAGGAATCGTGGTTACGAGTTATGAGAGCACCCAAATCATAATTGAGCATTCAAATCCCGAAAGATAAATATGGTAATATTCCACCCGGTATGGGCCTGGATTGAGAATCGGAACTTACACCCTCAAACGCAAGCGCTTGAAATGAGCCGCTTACACCACCGGCCTCTGTTCCACCAAGCTTCATCTGCGCGCTTTCTGGATGTAGGCAAGATGATAGTAGCAACTGTCTAGCCCTGCTTTGATGCTTTATTTGAAGCGCGAACATACGCCCAATTGCACCGCGACCGCCGCTCGTCACCAATGCGCCGACTTCAAACTTTGCTATTTGTAAAAAGAGGTCCCACCTAAGAATGAATAAGAGATGGTTTCGCGTAAATTACATTACAGAAATTCTTGAGGTATATTTAATGCAATTGCCAAAGTTATGCAGGATAGATAACCAAGTTCAGAAAGACAAATCTGTAAACTGACCTCTGCAGTGAGAATCTCGCATTGGCCAAGTCCTGGCGTTAATCGTCGGTCTCTGGTGGTAGGGATCGGCGTTGCCGGTCGACTAGCATCTGACGCTTCGGAATTCCGCGACGGTGGTCGGTCATCGTGCGCTTGGCCGTCGGTATCCGAGCAGTGCACACCTCGTTCAGCCTTTTGTTTCTTCCGTTGACACTCGAGCGGCTCGGGCCTGAAACCAGAGAAGGTTTCATTGCTTGAGATTATCGTGAATGCCGCGAACCGGCTATTTCATGGTGGGAGACATGGGAGGGGGGGGGAAGAGGAGGAGGAAAAGGGGATAAAACGCTAGACGTCCACTTGATTGTTGATTTTCTCGTTTGAAAGTACCTTCTGCCGCCGGAGCCCATGAGCGTGGATAGTGCTATGGCAGTGGATGTCTATTGGACTTTGGAGGACCGATGCAACCAAATCCTACCATGGCGCAGCTTGGAATTTCAGACCAAGGGCCCCGTCCGAAAAGGTACCGATCTGATTCGCCCGCAAGTTGAGACTTCGACGTCGGTTTATTTCATGGGTGGTTGTGTGTGTTCTATCCAAATAAATCTGGTAACAATAAGTCAACCGGGAAGGGATAAAACATGTGATTCGATAGATGGAACCAATTCAGCACATAGTGTCTGCGTAATGAAACAGTCTCTCTTGACTCTCAAAAATGAACGCTAAATAAAGTAAAAAATCACCTTTCCATCACGCATCCATCGATCGCCTTTCAATCGTCCAACCTCTTCAAGATTACGGTCGATCTCCTTGACGACATTTGGACAGCACAAAAGTTCATTGCACAAAACGCCAAAATTGACGCCTTTTCTTCACCACTGAGCTCCGCAAAACTTCGGCTCTACCAGAAGACAAGACAAGATAGCTAGAAAAATGCTATAAACTTCCCGGAAATGCATTTTTTAGCAGTTAATGAGTTCACAACCTTTTTGGCATGTGAATCTCTGGTCGAAAGAAATATCCGCATCAGTTCCGAAATAACTTTTGCTCGGTCACACCCAGCTCGGAAACGGTTTGGCCAAGTCGCGTCCTGCCTCTGAAATATTTCAGACAATATAGAGGGCAGTCAAAAATGATGCCTTTTAGCCCTGATAGAATTGCCGCGCTCATTCTCGCTAAAGATATCGCTGCGATGGGCGTTTGATAACTCTTTCACTGCTACTTTAGCACTTTGACCACCTGAGCCTATCCTACCTGCACTTCACCTACTCTCAATGAAGAATCTAGCTCCAACAAGAGAAACATACCGTTTCCCGTTTGGTAATCCAGGATATTCAAGTGCTAGTCGAAAGAGAGATCGTGCGAGTTGAAGGACCTTTTCGAAGTGCGCCACATCACCGACGAGACCGGCACAGAACGCACCTAGTGACGGCAACGAAGACGGATCTGGAATGTTCTAGAGCATGAAGAACGGTATTTGTAAGGTTTCATGCATTCCTTAGAGATTTAGGCTCTAATTCATTCAAAATTTGAGATTTGCGCTTGGTTTGCTTTGTTTTGTTGGCAGCGTAAGCAGCGCGAGATTTTGAGTGCGTCAAAAAACCATAAAAAAAAAATACGAAACTTGATAGAAGCAAAGCACTATCTCACTATCTTCTAGAACATCCAATTTTGGAAAAAATTCTACACGTTCAAAATATAGATTGCGTAGGTGTGATACGTGAGTGCGCCACACTGTCCCACGAGGCATGCAAAACGCAACACACATGCTCGACAATGTTGGGATGGTCCAAAGCTAATCCTAAGCTTGCTGAATGATCCACATAATTGGGACAAATGATCAAGAGAGCTCACCTATCTCGAGCACTCGACTGAAATTATTGACAAACTCGTGAACCATCAACGCGTCAGCAAATCCTGCACCATTCAACCGTAGGTTTTCCACTCGTGGTAAGTCAGGCACGGGCTAAATTACACCGAAATCATATCAATACCGTCATATCACTCAATCCCCTCAAACTAGAACTTACCCTGATCTCAGTCAGAAGCAGGTCATCTATCGGTTCACGGCTCCATTTGATCTTATCCTCGTCATCGTAAACCTCCAGCGGTGATTCCTCCACTTCTATATGATGTTCCACTACCTGAAATCATCCGAATGTCAAAATGGCTCTTGAAACGATCACTCATTGACCACAGTACCTCTTCAGGAGTCACAGCTCGAGGCTCAACCGCTGGCGGAGGTTTTTCGCGATGTTTCCGTTCGCCGTTCCGCGGTTGTGGCTTTAGTGAAACAAGCCGATTCACTTCTTCAGCGATCATCTCTTCACTCACTTTTACCACGGTCTAAAATGCAATATTTGACTTATACCAAAATCCATTTCAACAAACATCTCCGGTGACATACACTGCCGACCGAACATAACCGCCTCTGCAGTTAATTTACCCACCATACGTTTAAGCTAACCATATGATTCAAAAGTATTCTCACCTTTTCACCATCTTCCTTTTCCTTCGGCATCAAAAACTCGCCCACAATCAGCTTACTGCTGAACGAGAAATTGTCGCGGGTTATTGATCCGCATGGACGCTTCATCAGGTACTAAAAAATACCGATTTTGACAGAAATTTTTGAGAACCAATTCACGTAAGAAACATACCCTCAAGACCTCCGGCATAGGTGCTAAGCTTCTTGCCACAGGGTGCATAGTAAACGACGTCACCACGTACTCCAGACGCGGCTATTGACCGAATACACGTCTGACGACGCCATCTGTACACAACAGTATTTAGTAACATAAAATTTCTAAATATTTATAGTAAAAAATATATCAATTTTAATCGCGACCAAAAAAACGAGAAAGTGGTTTTGCTACTGCCCGTAATAACTTCGTATAGCGCAAAGCAGATAATCATTCCTCTCCCCCAACGGTTGTTACAGGCTGGCATTCACAGAAGGGAAGATCCGATTTGGACGCCTCATGTCTTCAAGGAAGACTTCTGAGTGGCCTTAGAGCACTACTGTGCTGGCGAATAACCCTCAGGGAGGTTTTCAAGGAATCCTGGAGGAGCTGTCGTGAGTTTTTCTCTCCCTGGCCTTCTCTACTCTGTTGGGCTCAATCCTACCCTCACTTACCATCGGTCCTATTTTGAATGCTCCCCCTCCAAAGACATGAGCGCACAGAATTTCATCATGATCAAAATATGACATAGACTAATAAACCGAGTATGCCGCCAAACTTTGTGTGTAGGTGTGGACCCATTCAAATGCCACTACGTTCCCGAATGAATGTCGAATGCGTGGCGCATACTGATAGGTGAGTTTCGGTGCCAGATTATTGACCCAGAATTCCCTGTCATATTCTTCCCTTACATTTCCCCAGGATACCGGCAGATTCCCTTTCAAAATTCGTCTTTTATACACGGCCACCATCCGCTGCTATATAATCTGAAAAACAGAGCCCCACCTGATAGGACCGTAGCTCGAAAAGCCGGTTGATCGAAACTTAGTATCCTTCTATTATATAAAGCGCTAACTTTGTGTGTGTCGGTTTGTGTATCTGTATGTGTGTGTGTGTGTGTGTGTGTATGTGTGTCCGTCCGCAAAATGAAGTGAGTGAGAAGGAAGCTCATGGGATAAACAAACCGCTAACAAATCGGGTAGCTTACAGGATTTGAGATATCAATGTTTTGTAGCAGGATAGTTGTGATAACACTCTTAGGGCTATATAAACACCTGCTTAGCACACTTCCGTTCATTCCACATGGTGCTGCAGTGGCAGCTGGAGGGCAGTGGAGAGAGGAAGGGAGGATGAAGGGAAGCGAAAAATCTACCGTCATATCATGATTGTGTCCCTTCTACTGTATGAAACACCATTGTGTTGCATACGCGTCACTTCCAGGTGTTGGTGTCACAGGAGGAAGGGACCATAGCGGAGGATAGAAAGCTTGCGCAGGAAAGGAAGGTCCCGGCGGTTGACGGGGGACTAATCTGGTATAATTATAAAGCGCTAACTTTGTGTGTCGGTTTGTGTATCTGTATGTGTGTGTGTGTGTGTGTGTGTGTGTGTGTGTATGTGTGTCCGTCCGCAAAATGAAGTGAGTGAGAAGGAAGCTCATGGGATAAAACAAACCGCTAACAAATCGGGTAGCTTACAGGATTTGAGATATCAATGTTTTGTAGCAGGATAGTTGTGATAACACTCTTAGGGCTATATAAACACCTGCTTAGCACACTTCCGTTCATTCCACATGGTGCTGCAGTGGCAGCTGGAGGGCAGTGGAGAGAGGAAGGGAGGATGAGGAAGGGAAGCGAAAAATCTACCGTCATATCATGATTGTGTCCCTTCTACTGTTTGAAACACCATTGTGTTGCATACGCGTCACTTCCAGAGGTGTTGGTGTCACAGGAGGAAGGGACCATAGCGGAGGATAGAAAGCTTGCGCAGGAAAGGAAGGTCCCGGCGGTTGACGGGGGACTAATCTGGTATTATAAAATGGAAATTTTGAATTTCACGTGTCAGATGATATCACCGTTATCGTTGGGAATCAGCCACGCTTCTGTCAGCGTAAGTAGCGCGACATCTTCACATTCAGGATCAAGTCACGGAGAGTTTATGAGCTTAGGAAATTCCTCAAGGACGCACTTCGTCGTGGAAGATAACGATAAAACTTGGAATTGAAAAATTCGAAAGCAACATAACACTGCAGTGAAGATAGATATGGATTGTTTACACACGCCACAGTAAATTGTACTCCACAGGAGGCCCGTCGCGCGGCAAGAAGGCAGAGTCGGCGGACGAGTTGCAGCGCGTGGTGTGCGATGTAGGACGTGCAGTGGATACATCTGTTTGACGTGACGCAATATAAATCCCTACAGACTTCCCTGATGATAGCTCGTAGTGAGCGCACCGACTCATTCCCTACGTTGCGCTGCTTGCCGCGCGACGGGCCTCCTGGGGGAACCCACAGTAAACTCACCCTAACGCCAGTGGCACTCTCGCCTGCGATTCCGTGGCCGGTGGTCGCTTCTTTCCGACTTCGCCGCCAACCCCTTCCGAAGGGGTGGCACTGCTTCGGGTTTCGGTACCGTCCGATGATGGTCCTATAACGAAACGATTACCATTCCGTTTATCACATATCCGAGAGTTTAACTATTTGCAGAAAAATCTATAGATTCCGGTTTTATCAGCAGTTTATCAAAAGAGTTCTATCTGATGGGCTAGTATAGCAATGACAGTACTGTGGGCAGGGTATGCCACGTAGTACTTGTTTATTTTTCAAAATTTTTATAGAAATAACGAAAAATAGAAAATTCCAAACCGCTTACCTGGTTCCGTTTTCGTCTTGGCGGAAAGGTCAAGCGCCAGTTGTGCCGCTTCCTTCTTCGTCGTTCGGTTATTGCTATTATGTTTAGATCTGAAAGAGGTTTCGTATTGAAGATCTGGAGGAGTAACGATCATTTTCAGAAATTCTAGATTTTCAAAATAACAGATCGCAGTGGAAACAATTTTACTAGGCTGTCTTTATTAGAGATAAAAAAAAGTAGGCAAACATGGAAAGAATCGGAAACTGTTTCGAATCCAAAACGTTGATATGCTCATCTACAGGTACTCTTTCCACAAAAAATGTCCATTCGTTTATTGAATTCCGTAAAATAAATGATATATATAATATTGTAGGATCAAGTGATGTAGCCAAATGCAGGACATTGTCGCTTTTAATGGCAAACCCCAGAAAATCTGGGGCATAAGAGCTCTTCGTAGTGATGACTTAGCTGCGGATTGAATTGAAAGTGGAAAGGAAAGCAAGGAAATCATCGGAAACGCTAAAATTAAGGCCTTAACCTTCAGTAAGGTCGGATGTGGTACGACGGCGAGACAGGGCGATCAAAGAAGACAAACGCGAGAGAGCACGCCGTTCGAGAGAGCACGCTGATCTCTACATCAATCGCGGTGGGTGGGAAGCGTTGCAACGGAGGTCGATGGTTGCAGGCCTGTGAGGATTATACATGCTCTATGTAGGCACGGATCCTACAATTTCCCTCGCAGGATACTTCCTACTAGTCGGGCTGATCCCAGGGCTTGCCCTTGAAGTGCCAAACTTTTCAAAAATCAGATTTTGCAGAGTTCAAATGAGCCGAGATTTTTCGATATTCTCTACTAGAACTCTCATACATTTGTGAGAACTCAAACCTAGGCTTGCCCTGCAAGTCATTGTATAGACCTGGTTTCCACTCGCAAATTCTGTGATTCTGACCGAGGCGTATCCCAAGGGATCCATTCACGCCAGTCCTATCCCCATACGTGGAGAGCTCGAAATCAAATACGAAAAATGTGGCAACCGAGACTGTTAGGAGATATCACTGTTGTCATCTATAAATATTAAAGGATGGCGAGCTAGGGTATGGGTGACGCCAATGGCTACCGTTCCTGACTTCATTGTAGAAAAATGAAGAAAACCTATGCGAGAACTGGACTACTTCGCGTTTAGAACCAGTTTGAAAATTTTGAACTGAGCCAGGCTTTCTGTGCGCGAGCCTTGTTTTATCGTGCAAAAACCGAATTCGTCACAAGGGAACGATTCAAACGTACCCATTTATCTTGGCCACGGCAGCCTGTTGGCTCATCATCTGTGAGGCAAGCAGCTGCAACATCGCTGCGTCCAGCATGCTTTTATTCATATTGCCCAACGCCTTCATGAAGGATGAACTGAAATTCACTGTATGAGATTCAACAAATAATCAATTGTTACCCAATATTTTGTGTATTCAAGCACTTCGCTGCGTTCTGGGAAGTTTTACCACTAATTTCCCCGTGGTGGAAGGGAAAGAGCAGGAATGGCGCAAGGTGATGCTTAGATAATCTTCTTGGGAACTACCACCCACAATGATGAAATTTTCCATATAAACAAAGAGCCGTTTGAAAATTGGAATGGAGAAACCCAAAATGCTGAGAAAGTTTTATACGCCCTCACTAGGCTACATAGCATAATGTTCATGAAGTTTTAATATAGCTCCTACCCACGGCCCAGGAGCAGAGGTACGGGTGTATATCGGTTGCCTCCCTGGTCAGGTCACCTCAAATGAGCACAATTCTGGTTTGCTCGTAGCTGGCCTAGGCCTAAACCGAAGGTTAATCTTAGGCCTAAGCATAAAGCCAAGTCCAAGCCTGACTTCAGGTTTCAATCATCGCGCAGCTCTAGTGGCCTGACTTAGAAGAAGTGAACGTCTCTCCAGAGGTGCAGCGGCAAGACGCGTCGCTTACCAAGAGCATGGCCCAGCGGTTAAATCCCGGAACGAGTCTCGCTCACACTGACCAAGCCTATTCCTCGAAAGTCTGCCATTTGGTACCAATAAGTGCACCTATTTTGACGTAGAGAATTCTCCGTGAATGGATACTCTGTAGGTTTATTTGCACTCAAATGCCACAACGATTCCAAACAAAAAAGGCAAGCGTGGCTCATTCCGGGAATTGCTTGATCAACCCATACCATTCATTCCCTTAACATATCTGCTACCTAGATTTAATCACTACTGAATCGCAGGTGCAATGACTACAAATTTGAGATTAAGGGTTTGTTCCCGATGAATCTCCTGGATTCCTTTGCCAGTTTTTCTCACCTTTCTCACGTTCTTCAATTCTCATTTGTGAGATGGATTTTCGTTTTTTTTCTTCACTGATCACTGTCCGTTTTAATACGGTAGCGACCGGATTACTGCACGCTACACAGCGACAGTTTAACCGATTTCGAATCGCCGGCGATGGGATGAGCCGAGGATTATTCCACGCCCGAAGGCTGACGGCAGCTGTAACTGACACCACATTTTTCGCCCACTAAATTGCCACGAGATCGTGGAATACATCAGCCCAATTAAGAGATGGACTTTCATTGCCTCGTTGCTTGCAACACTTTATTTGTCGAGGATTAGCCCTGGTA